AGTCAAATTATCTTATCACTTCATAACAAATCAACACATTTTATTCTTTACCAGAAACGTTCCTAATTATTTTTCTGCAAATACAAATCAATATTATGTAATTCTAATCTATTGATGAGTATTTCCACTTCTAGCCTTTAGTATGGTTAAAGTCTTTGTATACTCCACAAAAAATAGGTGGAGAAGGGGAATCAAAAAGTTTTTAAGCCCAATGTATATTTGGTCTTTCAGACTCTCAGTTATGATTCCTGATTATCTAGTCTATGAAATACAAATTGCTCATCTAATCTGTGTATCTATGCTGACACTTGACATTTCCTAAACTATATCAATTAAATAATCAATATACTGTTCAGAGTTCTCCAAACTATAATTCTCATCAACACCTGGATTCTTTAATGGATCTTTGATTTGATAGCGTAGGTACTCTCTTCACTAGTACACATGCAACCTTTTCATAAATCTTCAATAGACGATCTTTTACCCAACTTGCTAGAGAGAGGCCTTTTCTTAGGCCTTCTAATATTTCATACAATAATGGGCCTGTATATCTATTATTCCAACCATTCCAAAAACATCTGCAAAAGACCTTTTTTCCACTTCTACTTTATAAGATACAATGATGTGCTACAGAATAAGGCACAACACCAACCAAGATTTTATAAAACATTTTTGTATTTCATGAAATCTACTACATAAATCAGTCAGGAGTACTAAGTCCAATCCAATTAACAAATTAATTAATCATCAGGCATTTCCTAAGTACCTACTACTACCACTCCATGGAGTCGCGAAAACCTCAGTTCAAACTTGGCCTCAGACACTACCTGTGTCACCTTGGGCAAGTCACTTAATCTGTTTGCCTCAGTTTCTTCAACTATAAAATGAAGAGAATAACAGTCTATTTTGAGGATCAAATGAGATTTTTTTCCCCTATAAAAGAACCTTTTTAATAATCATAACAGCTAACATTTGTATAACACTTGAAGGCATGCAGAGCACCTTATATGCTTTCTCATTCTCCCAATAACCTTCTGAAGTGGGTGCTATTGTTAATCAATCAAAAGCAAATGTTTTATTTGTTTTTATTTTTAATAAATATTAAGCATTTATTATGCACCAAGCATTCTGCTAAGTGTTGGGGTATACAAAAACGGGAAAGACAGTTCTTGCCCTCAAGGAGTTTACAATCTAATCAGGGAGACAACAGGCAATCACAAATACACAAAGCAATCTATATGCAGGATAAATAGGAGATAATTAACAGAGGGAAGGCACCAGTACTAAGAGGGGTTGGTGAAGACTTCCTGTAAAAGATGGGATTTTAGTTGGGACTTAAAAAAAATCCAAGCTAGTAGATAAAGCAGATGAGGAAGAGCATTCCAGCCATGGGGTGGGGAAGGGGGCATCAAGGGGGTGGGGAGTAGCCAGAGAAAATGTTTTGAGCTGAGGTTGGAGTATCTTGTCTGTGAAATAGCCAGGAGGCTAGGATTACTAGATTGAAGAGCACATGTAAGAAGACTAGAAAGGTAGGAGAGGACTAGGTTATGAAGGGCGTTGAATGCCTGAGGATTTTGTAGTTAATCCTGGAACCTCTAGAGGTTTTTTTTTCCAAGTAACTTTTTTTTCTTATTATTTTTTAAAATTTATTTCAAATGAGATTTTTTAAAAGCACTTAATGTGGTACATAGTAGGTGCTATATAAATGCTTATTCTCTTCTTTTCCCTTTCCCTTCTAGGGGCATACAACATTTTAAAAGATAAGTAAACTTGGGATTTCTGTAGAATTAAAACACAATAGGGATATATGATAGGCAACAAAAAAATGTCCATTGAAGAAGGTGGCACTTGGGCTGAACCTTGAAGGGAACTAGGAGTCAAGAGACAGAGGAAGGGAAAGCATTCCACTTAGGAACCACCTGCATGAAGGAAAAAGAGGGATTACCTTGTACAGGGTACAGCAGGGAGATCTATGTATGTGGAGAAGAGAGTGTACAAGAAAGAAGAACGTATTTTCAAGATGGAAAGGTAGGCCAGAACTAGATTGTTCAGGGCTTTAGATGCTAAACAGAAGACGACATTTAATCCTAAAGGCAACAAGAGCCATTGAAGCTTCTTGAGCAACAAAGCGATGGAGAACGAGATTTGGGAATATCATTTTGGCAACTATGTAGAGAATGAATTATAAAAGGTAGAGAACAGATAAAGGCAGACCAAATCAAGTAATTAAAATGCATTTTAAGTTAATGCCTTCTTTTTGCCCTCCTTTAAGTAAAAGCTCTTGGCCTGATTTGCCTCTTAGACTATTTTTTTCATCTATAATAGAGATCATAACAACCAATCTCACAAAAATGCTGTGACAAATTAGGTATCATAGAAATATCCTGATTCTACATAAGTGAAATCTGCAGAAATGGTATGTAATAATTATAATAACAACAACATCCTTCATGAACTACTCAGAACTCAAACACTGAATAGACAAGAGCAATGGAAACTTTCAGCATCACTTTAATATGACGTTCATGATGATGAGCAAAATACTTGTATTGCTATGTTTTATGTAATAAGGATCTGGTTAAAATGGAAGTTGGTTGTACTCTGTAAAATAGGTATTTTTCACATAACTAAATTATCTAGGCTGAAACCTTTTATGGAAGTATATTATCAATAACTTCTCAAGTTTTCTTCTCTCGGGGAATAATACCTACTCTAACAAAGATATTATCAATACTGCACGCTTCTGCTTAGGTAAGTTTATACCTAATCAAAAGTCATACTAAAAAAATTACCATGATCAAATTGACTTGTGTAGTATAATTAGGAATACATCACATTTTTGTCACCTAGAAATAACTGTTCATGGAGGCTATGCTGAACCAGAAGAAGTGGAAATATGATCTGCCCTGTAATATCACTAATCTTAACAATGTCTGAATATACCAAGTTAGAAAAAAAATTGAACAAAAATGAGACTGTTTGAAAAGGAAGTAGCTTCTCTTCTTTACAATGGGGGCCCTAATAGAAATCAAGTGGAAATGACAGAATTCTAATAGGTGTTGTATGTTAAACTCTTAATAATGTTATCATTGCTTAAGTCACCTCCTATAATAATCATTTCTGTACATTAAATTCCCTTAGACCTTTCACATACTATCTGTATCACACGTCTCCAATTTACTTAGAGACTGCCAAATTTGCAATGTAATACACGCTAGAATAAGTGTTCTGAGTTCAGGGGGTCTACCTTCTATAACTCTGGTATTCCCTATGGTGTGGTAGGGTACCCAAAGGCCACTCAAGTAAATCTTGTTGAATGAATAAATCAATTAATTCAATTAGAAATTGAATAACTATGGTTTAATTCAATTCACTATAAATTTACAAGACATAACAAAATTCTGATGTGTATATCTATTATATACAAAGAAATTCAGCTGTTTTTAAAGCTGCTTAAGAAGCTAACTAGAATTCTATCTTCTGAAACTATAAAATGTGTAAGAGAATTTGATTTTCTGTTCATTTTTTAAAAACCAAATCCTCATCAATGTAGGGCACTCTCGATGAGGAACTTCTCTATTAGTGAAGATTGGTACCTTCTTTGAAATGTACAGCCTATACAGTCCTGTTAATGAAACAAAACTTTTTATACCTTTCACTAAAGTCATTTTTTAATGCCTCCTCATGATATAGGTATAACACTGAATTCTCAAAAACTGTGCCAGTTAGCAAAATGCAAATCCTAATCATTCTTACGCCAAGCTGGAAAGATTCAAGTCTGAAGCAATGATGAAATGGGTGTCTATGGCCTAAGACCCAGGTGAGCCCAGTTTAGACAGAGACTCATCAAAGATTAGCCACAGTGTTTTTGGGAGGTATCTCTCTGCTATCTATACATCATAAAGAAGTTATGATCTACATCAGTGGATGGAGTCACCCACCATCAATGAAATCACAGATTTTGTATTAAAGTATAAGTTCTTTATACATCTTATAAGCCATCACTAAAATGCATTCATTATCCACACATTAATAAATCATTTCTTATGACAACTTTTTGCAAGGGATCTCTAGAGGTTATCTTATTAACTTTTGCTTTTAGTCATATTTCACCTATATAATCCCAAATGGCCAAGCGTCACACTTTTCTCCACTTTGCTAAGGAAATATTTGCAAAATCATGGAAAATATAATTCAGCTATAAGCAAATAGGAAAACAAAGGAAAATAGATTAAGTTCTTTATTATTCAGCATGGCTAGACATTTACTTTTGTCCCTAGCTAAATATTCCGGTTGATAGAGTTGCCATTTTTAGCACACATGAATTACCAATTTTTATGATCTTAAAATGTATGATCAGATAATGGATTTTGCTGCTAAAAATATTCTAGTAAATAAGTTGTTATTTTATCCCATGTAAATTATCCATTTTAGAGAATTATAATAAAATACACAACACTGAAATATAGTAAACATAATGATCTTTATTTGATTATTCTGAAGGTACGTCAGGATCTCACATGCTTTAGGGTCATCATTATGAAAATCAGCTATATAATACTGCAGAAACTGGATTCATTGGTAAATAGAGATTTCCAATCAAAAGAATACAAAATAAACAAGGATAAATAAGATTTACTTAGAAATAGAATGAGCACCTATATTACTATCATTCAAATGAAGACATAATTACAACCAAAGAAATGGTAGCTTTTATTACAATATTATGACTAACAAGCTAAAATTGGGAGTCAATAGCAAATGTTAACATAAATATCACCTTTTTATTTGTAAACATCTTCATTAAGTTTAACAGAGTATTTCCTAGACTTCACTAGAGGCAAAAGAACAATTTAAAGAAAGACAGAAATTTTCATAAAGCAAAGTACTTAGTATTTGATAATCCAAACAGATATTCATTAAGGTATATTAGAGCTATTGTCATAATACTTCTATTGGGGAGAAAAGGTAAATTCAAAACTTATTTCATACCAACTTACTCTGACTTTAGGTAAAACCCTTCGAAGTGTCTCTGCAGGGTTCTGTCGCATCAGGAAGGGGAGATTTGCAACCACACTTGTTCCTTGGACATCTTGACCAGAACTTACAAAAAAAATGCAAATTTTAAATATATTAGACTATAAGGTAAATTTCAAGGTCACAGTTTTTTAAGTACTGTATAATAATTTAATGATACTCGTGAAACTTACAAGTTATTTAAAAACAAAATTTAACCCATGTTGTATTTTAATTGTTAAAGAAAAATTCCTATGACAAATCAATCTAATATGAAGTTAGGCATGTTCCTACCAAAAAATGAAGTCTTTTATCTTCAAGTAGCTCTTAAAGAAGAAACTCAGGATCTTTACCACACTAATATCTAAAAGGTTTGTATCAATTAATTACATTTCTTTCCTATGGCTTATTAATTTGTTGGAATTATACAAAAGTAGTAGTATTAAAGTTTCATTATAGAAGTAATGATAGCTTTCAGTGGTTTCAGTCGTATCCAACTCTCCAAGACCCCATCTGAGGTTTCCTTGGCAGAGATACTGGAATAGTCTGCCATTTCCTTCTCCAGCCCATTTTACAGATGAGGAAACTGAGATAAACCAGGGTTAAGTAACTTGCTCAGGGTCACACTAGTAACAGCTAGTAAGCTACAGCTACTAGCTTATAAGCTAGTAAAGTAAGTATTTAAGGATGATTTTGAACTCAGGTCTTCCTGACTCCAGGCCCAGCATTCAACCCACTGTGCCACCTACTTGCCCAATGAATAGCAAATATTAGCAACTCCTACAGCAATGCTGACTTTAACCCAAAATTTGTGCTTCCTTGAATAATGATATTATGGATTACATTGGATTTTCTCAAAGAACTATCAGGAATTTTTTTTAACAATAATGACAACAATAATAATGACAGCTAAGATTTATACAGTGCTTTAAGGTTTACAAAGTACTTTATATATTTTATTTTGTTTTATCCTCACAATACTCCATGCCATTATTCCTATTTTACAGATGAGGAAACTGAGGCTTAGTGAGGTTAAGTGATTTGCCCAGGGCCACATAATTAGTAAATATGTGAGGAAGATTCAAACTCAGGTTTTTCTTATTCCAAGTCCAGTACTCTAGTCACAACATTAACTCTTTCATGTCAATGGAATATGTTCAACAAATTACTTAAATAGACCCTTAGTTTACTCAGGTCTTTTAAAGTAATTTTAACTATTTCACATGACTAAAACTGTATGGTACAAAGGAACTAATTTATTAAATATGTCTCTAAGGACATGAAAGATTCAGAAGTCTCTAAGGTCAGATCTGCTGGGATACCGAGGTTCAAGGTATTCTGTGGGTTTTCACTCTTCAAACTATAACATGTGAAGCTCCACAGGTACCTTTAAGAGTCAGACAGCTATTACAATTTGCTCAAAGGTTATTTATTGAAATGCCATAGCATGCTAGTAGTAACAAAACATTCCCCCTGTAAGGGATGATAGAGAATTCTTAAATCACATCTGACTAACAGATGCTTGCTAAGGTCTTCTTAACAGTTACTGGGGCGGATCCACATCCGATAGAACTATCTCATTAGCTTTGTAGAGTTCGGGAATAGAATCAAGAAACCTGGATCAAGCTTCTCAGCTCTAAGTTTGCCCTATTGTTACATGGTTTTACTCTCAGTAAGGCAAAGAAATGTGATCCATGAATTCAGCCTTGGAATAGTCTTTCTTTCTGTGATCTCACGAACACTTAAAGATGTACAAACAGACCAATGGAGGTGAAAAGTGTTTCAGATCTAGTCCTAGTGGGTCTTTTTTTTTTTTTTAAGATTCAGAATTATGATTCCATCAGTTTATGGAACCCCTACTGTGTAAATCCTTCCACCAGTACAGATAAGCAAGTTACATTTAACTTAAGAGTCTTAGAAATTGCTTGGAGCACTAAAAGGTTCATGACTTGCCCATGGTAACCGAACTGTATCAGAGATATAACTTGAACCTAGGCTTTCCTGACTCCAAGGCCAGGATATATGGGATCACATATCCTTCAGGCAGAGGTAGTTAATACTGCAGCATATTTTCTCCTGATGTGAATATGCATTCAGAATTAAGCCCTATGGCTTAACCAGTAATTCAGTTTTAGGTCCCTGAGGATCTTTGGTACTGTGATCTACTGAGTAAAAAGAGAGATGTTCACAATTGCATAGAAGGAATAGAAAAATATCACCAATAAAGCAGGATGGAGTAGGGTCAAGCCAATATAGAATGACTTGGTCTTACGTAATATTTGGGTTTGCCTTTTTTAAAAATTGAAGCAAAGTAAAATGTAGTGATCTCTTATTTCGTCCCAATTCTAGTCTGTAAGCTAAGAACATGGCTATTAGAAATGGCTTGTCTTTCCTTCAACAATGTTTATACTAGTTTGTAAACATTACTGTTTCTGATGAAAATAAAAGTCCCCCCCAAAAAAAATTCCTCCTGTAAACCTGGGTGTAAACTATTGAAGAATTCCTACAAAAATACAAATCAGTGTGAAGAATGGCCACATGCACAGTAGCACTAGTAGACACACACTCAGTAAACACACGCAGCCAAAGACACTTAGACTTCCATCACTATAGGGCACTGATATTTTTTTTCTTTCCACGGTGTCCTCATGCTGCTACCACTGGTTGTAGTGATTCTGCTGGGCAGGTCACTCTACCAAGGCAGGCCCCTCTGCGGAGCTTCCTGGGCCTGCTCCCCTCCTTCTACAGTTCTCTGTAGCTGGACTCTCAGATTATTTTCTCACATGGTGTAATACGGGATAAGCTGCTTTACTGCAAAATTGTCTTGTCAGTGGGATAGGGGAGCGAAGGAAGGAGCCACCCCTTTCCCTACCTTTGTCACTTGCACTCTGGTCACAGAGTTGGGTTTTCTTTTGGTGGGAGGAGTTTGTTTATGACTTGTTCAATTTTCTCCTAAGAACCTGGGTTATTTAAATTCTCTGTTTCTTCTTCTATTAATTTGAAAATTTTATATTTTTCTAAATATTCGCTTGTTTCATTTAGACTGTTTGTTATGCTGGCATAAAGTTAAGCAAAAATTTTAATAATATTCTTTATTTCCTGTGAATTTTCTGTTTTCATTTTTTATACTGCTATTTTGCTTTATTTCTTCTTTTTAATCAACTTAGCTAATGGCTTATTTTATTGCTTCTTCCCACCCCAAAAAAAGTTCCTATTTTTTTATTTATCAATTCAATGCAGTTTGTTGTTTCAATTTTATTAATTTCTTCTTTAATTTTCAGGATTTCTATTTCAATATTTGAGTGTTTTTTTTCAAATTTGCTGGTTTTCTAGTCTTTATAGTTCCACCCCCAATTTATGCATCTGTTTTCTCTCACTTTTTGTTAATAGAAATGTTTAAGATATAACTTTCCTAAGACCTATATGAAAAAAAAATATGTATAACAGCTCTTTTCTGGGAACAAAGAACTGAAAGTTGAGGGGATGCCCATCAATTGGGGAATGGCTGAACAGGGTATGGTATGTGATTGTGTTTGAATACTATTGTGCAATGGGAAATGATAAACAGGATAATCTCTGAAAAGCCTGGAGAGACTTGCATGAGCTGATGTAGAGTGAAATGTAGTGGGTACAAAGTAACAACAATATTGTAAGATGAGCTGAGAATGACTTAACTATTCTCAGCAAAACCATGATCCAAGACAACTATGAAGAACTTATGAAAAATGCTACCCATCCCTAAAGAAAGAACTGACGGTGTCTGAATACAGACTGAAGGATACGTTTTTATTTTCTCTATTTTTCTTCAGGGTTTTTTTTTGGTTATTTTTCTTTCACATGACAATTATGGAAATGTTTTGCATGACTACACATGAATAACCTATATCAAACTGCTTGCCTTCTCAATGTGGGGTGGGGTGGGAGGCAGGAAGGAAGAGAATTTGTAACTTGAAATTTAAAAATAAATGTTAAAAATTGTTTTTACATGGAACTGTGAAAAATGAAATATTAAATAAAATTTTAAAATTAAAAATTAAGATACAACTTTCTCCTAAAGAACCGCTTTGCTTGTATCCCAGAAATTCTGAAATGTTGTTGCACTGCTGTCATTATCTTTAAGGAAATTTGCTATCATTTATATGTTCTGTTCTTTGACCCAACAATTCTTTTCTGCATTTGTTTGTGAGGTTTTTATGTCCTAAGACATAATCAATTTTTGTAAAGGTGCCATACACAGCTGAAAAATGTCTATTTCTAGAAATCATCAGAGGAATATCACATAAAATTTTCTTGAAATTTTTATTCATGTCATTAATTTCTTCTTTATTTTTTGGTTAGATTTATCTAAGGCTGGTAGGGAGATAAATTAAGGTTCCCTATTTTAACAGGGTTTGGTTTTTTTTTTTGGTTTATTTCTCCCTGTAATTCATTTAGCTTTTCCTTTAAATATATATATTTTTTATTTTTGCTAGGCAATGGGGTTAAGTGACTTGCCCAGGGTCACACAGCTAGTAAGTGACAAGTGTTTGGTCTGAGGCCAGATTTGAACTCAGGTCCTCTTGACTTCAGGGCTGGTGCTCTATCCACTGCACCACCTAGCTGCCCCTCCTTTAAATATTTTTAAACTATTACCTTGGGTAAATATAATCTAAGTATTGAAATAAATTTGTCAATGTTACCTTTTAGCAAAATATAGTTTCCTTTTTTATCTCTTTTAATAAAGTCTGCTTTTATTGTTGTCCTGTCTGAAATCATAACTTTAGAAATCAGAAAGCTTACTAGTTGTGTGACCCTGGGCAAGTCACTGAATCTTTGCTTCAGTTTCCTCATCTGTAAAATAATGATAAAAATAGCACTTAGGTCTCAGGGTTCTTGTGAGGATAAAATATGATAATGTTTGTAAAGCACTTAATAAACCTTGACATTCTACATAAATGCTACCTATTATTATAAATTCAAGCTATTATGCATCCTGTGGAGATTGCATACATGATTCTACATCCCATTTGAGACCATCATGGAGAAGGCCAGGTGGCAGCAGCCTGGTAGCATCAATGGAAGATAGCACCCCTGCTACATCAGGGGTC